TTCTAAGCAAGAAGCCTGCAGTCTCTAATGCTTTTCTGCTTTGCCAAAATTTTGAGGGCCACTGATTTGGATCAAAGTTGCGAAGTGTATTTTGAAGTTGATGCACCCGTGTCCCCACCACTGAAAGCTGCTCTACTGGCAGCACGGAGCAGGAGTGTCACAAGGGCCGCGTGTGGTGTATTAAGTAATGGTGATCCATGCAAAGCACTTTTCGAACTGCATTGAAGGTGCCAGCACAGAACTTTTGATTTTTTCTTTTTTGTGGTGTTCGCTGCTTTTATTGTTTATGACTACCTCGTGCACACATGGGAATAGGGGGTACTAGCGCTGTGCTGTGGGGTAAATAAATACCAGAAAGAAGTGAAGTGCAGCAACATTTGAATACCTTTTTTAGAGCATCTTTCTGGAGCAGCAGTGTGGCAGAGTTATCTGCTGTGAGCATTGACTATAGAGTTAGGCTTGCCCTGAAAGAAGAGCTGTGGAATCCCAGAAAAAGTGCTAAACAGTTTGTTTGTAGTGCATCTTGCATCATGCTGTAGCTCGGCAAAAAGACATCTGATGAGTGCAGGCTGATTGCCTCGGCAAGTGAGTCCTCTGCACACATGCCTGTGGGCTTGTGCGCTGGCATCTCAAAACTGTGACCTCGCATTCACAGCTTTCATTCCAGTCAGGCAGAAGGTTGGATTTACTAATGTAAAATATTTTTTTGGTATATCGCAGCTTGTTAACAGGCTTACATGCTGAGGGAATGTTAAAAATATTGGGGTGAGCTTAGTTTTATTAATTAAAATGCCTATTTATTAATGTTCAAATGTTGCTGACTATTCACTAGCCCACCTTTCAATCTTTCTCTGACAAACGCATGAGTAACCAGCCAACTACGTTTGTAGGACCAAGAGTATAGTACCATCATCGCCCACCCACTGCCGCCTGAAATTCATTAAAAAATAAGTGGCGGGCCATGTCTCAGGGGGTAAGCACAAAAAGTAGCAAAAAGCTAAAAAAAACGCCCATTTTTTTGTGTGTATGTAGCGCAGCTGCACAAGAGGTGAATTAAACTCAAAACTCAAATTAGTTTCATTGTTTTATGCAAGAAATGTTCATAAAAGAATGTTTTGCTATTGAAAAGTCCTTTGCTTACATACGCGTGATGAACACTGCCAATCTAACAAGAAAATAGAAAAACCAACCAGGTGCAACGAGCGAGCGGGTGAAAGAAGCGACGAAGAGTGATAACCGGGAAGACCTGCGATCGTGTTGGCAAATACTTTGGCACCGGGCCAAATTGGTGCCCTGTCAGTCACAAGGAGCAGGCTCTTGTGCAACTTCCTTGTTTGATGCATACGTACGTGCATCCGTGCGTGCACAGCGTGCTATCAACGCAGGTTGAGCGGGCATTGCTGCGTGGTGTGGACGGTACCACAAACACGAAGCTCGAAATGGGACGCTTTACAAATATCTGTCTGCAGCGTTGCAGCAAGTCTTTATTTACCCGTTGACTTTGTCTCAAACATTGCACAACCTTAGGAACCACGGAGAAGGACCTTTTTCGCGGAACCTGGATTGACTTTGATGTTATTTTCTACAGTTACATTCCAGAATGTGGAATGTTCGCTGACCTCGCGATTCCTGAATGGATTACTGCCAGTCGCCGACCGATTTATCGGACTTCTCAGGGACCGAAAAATTGTCAGAAAAATAGAGCAATCCTAAAAATCTGCAGATAAAAAAGCTTGCCTTTATTACGTCAGAGTGGGCTTCAAAAAGCTGTCAATAGTGCCTTGCTTCAGGTTATGCCTCCGTTTGCGTTTGGCCACTTTCTATTAGCTTGAAAATCGCTGCCTTCTTTTCTAGCGTTGTGTTTGAGTACTTTCCGCACTTCTTAGCGATGCTTCGCGGCGCCGGAAGAATTCCGAATGGGGTCATGACGCATAGAGTTATTATAATGTACGCTAGAGGTTCCACTGGCGCTAGTGTGCTGTCGCAAATTGAAGCAGACAGCAACCAGTTGAAAAAATACTTTTGGTAATGCATTTCTATGGGAAGAAGTGAAGGCATTTCCTCCCTGCGCTCTATTATAAGAGCAAATATCCCAAATCATTTTTATCTACAAGGTAGCTTGGAATGTTTCTCAGCCAGGCATGCAAAATAATTGGTCAGTTACGGCGTATTTGTTTCAAACTCATTGCATTAAAAATGGGGTGAAAACGGGTCTGTACATGTATTTATGTGCACTGTAGGACACTGTTAGCGCGAACACGACGTCGGCGCCTTTCAGGATGGGAGATATACATGCCAAACGAACAAAGGACATCTGGGAAACCAAGAGAGACGGCAAGAACCACGCAGTAACACTGGATCAGTGACCCCTTGTGCATGTACGATCAAAATAAACTTGAGGCCACGTAATATAGTTTGATTTTCAATAAGTAAGTACTGCTCTATCTCTTTTTTGCTCTGTGTAAATATGCTTGTTCTCCGTACAAAACATCACCCGCACGCTCGAAATTTTTTAGAACAAGTGTTTGATAAAGCTGCATAGCATAAAAAATAATAAAAAGAGGCACCTTTTATAGCCCACATATTTTTTTATTTAGGTTTTTAATGTTTTTATCCGCTTGTAAGGATGCAAGACGGGGTCATTTTTATATAGTGACAGTACTGGCATATTAGCCAGATATAAGTGTTACCATTATGCTGGCAAACCTTGAACACACTATGTTCTCTTTTGATTATTATTTTGCTAATAATCGTCACTTGTTTTTACACACCTGCTATGGAGCACAGGTTTGGGCCTGAAATATAGCAAAGTCAAACATCATTCACTGATGAAGAAAAATGCACTAACTAAAGCAATTACACTTTTGCAATGTTAATAAAGGTACATGCTATTTGGTATGACCCAAATAACATACTAAGTGTTCCCATGTTATGTTCCTGCAAAGAGACAAAATGCATGTGCATTTTCCCATAAGAATGCACAGGAGCACCTCAAAAGTAGGCTGGTTGCTGTCTGCTTCAATCCGTGTCAAAAAAGTTGCACAGTCACTCTCATCAGTTGGACCTCTAGCTTAAATTATAATAACTCTATGCTATGACGTTCAAGCCAGCATAGTTCGACAACACGATTCACCGAGGCGAGATGAAAGGCTCAAGTCCACGACTGCAGAATGGTGAATGAACAATGAAAATAGGTAACAATGATGATGATAACTATGTGCAGCTAGAGAAAAAAAAAGTCGTAGCATAGCGTCAACTAGCGGTAAGACCTAGCAGCACACAAGTGGTGCTGCCAAACCAAATCAATTCATGTACAGCCAACATAGAATCTAAAATGGCTTCTCGGTGGTGTTTCCTGCTGATCGCTTGTGATGATTTTGTCAGAAAAATCAAACTTACGAATTTCAAGCTGTCTGAATCATTGGTCGTGACTATGCTCTATTTCTATCGTGTAGGTCACAGTTCCTTGTTTAGGTCCGAAATGTCGAACAAGTCCGAAAAATCAGTCGATAACTGTAGCTTTTCGACTTTTTTCCAATTTTTTATTTTGTGTGAACAAACTTTTTTTTGTAAGCAAAACAAAGTTTCATTTTGTTATCTCCAGCATTTTCCCATCTCCCATATGTTTTCTGGCATCACGGCCTCAGAAATCAGGGAGGAAATGTGTAAACAACGTGAAGCGTACAGTAAACTCTCAATTGAGCGAACTTCAAGGGACCCAAGGAAATAGTTCACTAAACTGAAAGTTACCTTACTAAACTGAATATATTCACTAGAATATGGAACAGCATAAGGCATAGCATACATAGAGTCAAAAGTGTGAAGTGCAATTTATGGAGTCATGTACATCAATATATACAAAGTGCATAACAGTTATGTTGCTGCCTTTCTAAATTTTTTTTTTTTTAATTTTTATTTGCATTGGCGTTTTTAAAGTGCATGAAGCTTGTTTTTTTGGACTTCCTCTGGCACAGCTTGTTGCTGCGACAAAGCCATACCGCAACGGCATTGTCCACGCGCTTGAAATATCCGTTGAAGAGTTGTTTCCTGTTGTGATTGAACGCAGCTCCTCCTTCAAGCTTCGACTTTTGCTTCGCTATCGTTGACAACGTCGACGGTGGAATCCCATAGTCCTTCGCAACGTCCACTTGCCTTTGACCGTTGTCCAGACGCTGAAGGATTTTGAGCTTGCCTGATAGAGACAACCGCTTCCATTTCGTCGTACTCATTATGAAAATCGATGCACAAACTGCCGTCTTGTCGTTGTTACCCAAAACCAAGATGACCTAACGGAACCAATGACAAAAAAAAAAAAACAGACCCACCACTTGGTTCGTTTTCGTCTACCGCACCGCCGCTTTGCCTCGGCGGCGCTGTAAACGCCAGCGACGATACGCCGCTGCTGCAGAGGCGGTGGGGCGGTTGGCATCGGCTACGCCAGCACTGCAGAGCACAAATCTTCATTGAAGTGATTGCAAAAATAATCCTGGGTCCACCGGTGATGTTCGTTGAACTGAAATATTTACTATTTCAAAATTTGTTATTTTGAAAAAATTTATTAATTTGTTTAACTGAAACATTTTTGCATAAAATGCATAGAAAAACCGCCGGGGATTTTTTTAAAGTTTGTTACGCTGAAATATTTATTAAACCGATGTTCGCTCAAGTGAGAGTTTACTGTATTTCCCTCCTTCACTTACAACATGAACTACGCTCATCGCATGGTCTGCGTTCGGGTATTTGTAGGGGTGGGTGATCACTTAGTGCTTTTTTGGAAATCGATATTCGCCCCAAAAGTGAGATGGACGATGACTCGGGGATGGGTGATGACTCAGGGATATTATGGTATATTCGTGACATTTTCATAGTGTATCCTCAGTTTGTGATTATTAAATTTTTCCCTCGAATAATGGGTACTGTATTGCTTCTTTTTTTTTCTGACTCGCCTTTGTATATGATTTTTTAAGTGGATTGTGTCCATCGCTCTGTCTCGTTCACAGACCTGGCTGCACAGCTACTTGAACCTGTTCTCCACCCCCTGCCGACGCTGCGGAACACGTCTCCAGCACAACATGCCACCAACGTGGAGGGACGTTCGCAACTTGGATGTATACCACGAGACATGCCGGCCTTGAGGGAATGTCCAGGCAGGCACGGGGTTCCCACTTTTTTTTTATGGAACAATGTTTCTTGTTTTTTTTTAATACATATTTATTGAAAACTGTTTCACACATGGCAGGCAGTATCACCATTATATCGGGACACATTTTCACACACACATATGCACACGCCAAAAAGCAGCTATTTTTTTTTTCTAATAGTACTAAATCCTGCCTGAAGTTCTGTCGGTGAACGAAGATTAAAGATTTCCGAGCAACCTTCTTCCTTTTCTCGAGCTGCTGGTATCATTGTTTTTCTCTGCTACTTGGTGCATGCGCCGGCTTTCTTGAAGGTCCGGGGAGCGATCTGTGGAAGAGAAGTCAGTTGCACAAACTTACAGTAAGACATTGAGTGAGTACATGTTGCTTCTCTGTCATGCGTGTCAGATTTGGCCTGAGTAACATGATTCACGCAAGTAGCCGCCATCTAATTTGACTCTAATTACCTGTTAATTGGGAATGCATTTGCTTGCTATTTTACTGTAACCCTCTTTATACCAAAATTAAAAAAAAGAAGTATGTGCGGTGTGCCATCTGATAAGTCATTGGCACGTAGCAAAGCATGACATGTGTTTTGGAGATTAGTCCACTCTTGTAGTTTGTTATGCTCAAGAAGAATATGTTTCTATGTTTGTTTTTACTTGCCTAGTTTTGTTTTTAAAGGGTAACCACTGATTGATTCAAAGGAATACCATTGATTTTTATTGCCGCGAGCAAGGAACAGGAATATAGCGATGCAGCCATGCTGCACGTCTTGCTCTGGTACCCAGTGGCCGGCACCCAAACGCGCTCTTTTCTTCAACTATGCAGCCTGCTGAATTCGCTTTTTAGCCGCTAGCTTTATGCATACGGACTGATCTTTTCTACATGTGCTGTATACTTGCGATGCAAACAACAGAAAGAACAACAGTTGACCTTACTTCTTGAAATTGATTCCGCACGTTGTATTGCATACCGCAGCACCACCGTGACGTCGCGTTGTAGCCGTACATCTGATGATCTGTGTTGCCGTCCGTCTCTAGCAGATAGTTTCAGTTTTTCCGTAGAAACCCGAAACCTAACTTTGAACCATGATATTTATAAAACTATGCACAATATTAATTCAGGGACACTGACTGAGCTGAAAACAGTCGTAATCCCAAATTTGAAAGTATTGACTGGAGTTGCCCTTAAAAAAACACAATCTAGGGAAGAAAAAAAATTTGTTTATACCTGGTTGTTACAGATTGTATCAAAAGGAATGTTCGGTGAGAAAATATTTTTTTGCCTAATATTTATGTTACAATACAAATTTTTTGAATTGGAGGCAAAACTGCAATTGTACCCCTGTGGAATGATTATGATAGTGTTTGTATCCAACTAGTGTGCCTTCTGAGGTCCAGCGAACTCCGAACACACGCCAGTCAGGTACAAATGCTATCATCATACCACAGGGGTACAATGTCGTTTTCACCCTCAAATCGAAAATTTTTTATTGTAACATAAATATTGGGCAAACATTTTTTTTCTTCTTCCTGGGTTTAGTGTTTTTTTAAAGGGGAGGTCCGGCAGGTTTTGAGCTTCCCAAACACATTTTTGGAATACCGAGGCTTCATTTTTCCCGGCATGCTATTTATTATTTCTAAGTTCAGATTAGGCATTGAGAAAATGACAAATGAAGGTTGTGCCAGAACCAACATTCAAATTTTTCCGCACTCTCCGTTATGGCGATGTCATGCGTTGTATAACTTCCAAGTCGAGCGGGCACTCTATAATAACAGTATTTTGTGAGCTCTTTGTTTTGCTGACAGGTGCTCGTTCATTTCACACCATCAGACTTGCTGTAAAACGTCAGAAATGGGCTCTACTGCCCCGATATTAATAACATTTGCCAGTAAACCCTCTCTCTCAGCACCTCAGACCAAATTTTAAAACTCCAGTAACTTCGCAAAAAAAAAAAAAAAAAAAAAAAAAAGATTACAGTGACCTGCAGATACCAGAGCACACCGTCGGACAAGGGAAAAGGCTTCTCGTCCGACAACGTCCTCTGGTGTCTGCGATGGTTCCGAGGTAATCAGTCTTTGATGATGATTTTGATAGAGAAATCGGCCACGCATGAATGTAATGTTGGTTTTCTAGGATGCTTAGAGCCCATAGATTGAGTTATGGCCGTAAATACAGTAGGCTCGCAATAAATCAAACTCATATATTTGATACTTCTGGTTAATTCAAACAAATTTAAAAAATTTTGGTTGTCCCGCTCATAAGCCGGTGTTTTCGTGCAATTCATACTTTTTTTTCTCATGGCCAGTTGAGTATGCTTCTTTCCGAGCAACGGTGCACTGTTGAGAGGCAACACCCGCGCAGAGCTTACTTTTGCGGCTGTGTCTTCTCCACAGTGCACCCGTGCTCGGTGAGAAGCGCACTCAGCAAGCCCCCAGCGGGCACACATAAGCTATAAAAACGGGCACCACGCAAAAATTTCCACAGCAACTTGCACGGACGCTGTGACGTGGCGAATGGCACAGGTCCACGTCACACTGTTCTTCCAAGCTGGTATAAAAACTGCCGCGCGGTGCCCTTTTACTTCACTTATGTGTCCCCTTCTTAATAGTCCACATTAGACAACTTTTTGGCCTGATTAACAAACTTAATTTTGTTCTGAGTTGTCAAGTGCTGTCTAAACAGTTCACGATAAACAATATTTTTGAGGGTTCACAAATGTTTCATGTGTGGCATACCTGCTTAGGATCAGTAGGCCTATGTATAGGAAATCATCAAATATCTGCTTTCTATGTGTGTCCATTCATATGGCAAATCATAATTTTTCTTGTATCATATATAGATGAATTTCTGATAATTCAAACAAAATTTGTGGCTTCCTGGAGTTTAGATTAATGAGAGCCCACTGTAGACTCTTGCAGGAAGTGGTTTAGTGTCTTCTTAATAAGGAATAGGTAGTACAAGATGTGCAGAGACGATGGACGATGAGGGGGACAAGGGAAAAACATACACATCTCAAGTGCAGCTGAATAGATTTTATCCTCGCATCATGTTTTATATGCCACCCCTCACACAACCTTCACCGAGTTTGCACACATGCACACAGCCTGCGCCACGCCTTCATGACACAGCCATTCGTACACCCCCGCCCACTCTCTCACGTGATCTGCACAGAGTGGGACACGTTTAGGCATCCATCGCATGCCCTCCATAACATACCCAATGGTAGGTGACAAACTTCTCAAACAAAACCGTATAAACAAGCAAGAAAAGAAGATTTTATAGAATGTTTTCCTTTCCCCTATTCAACCCCTTGCAAAAGTAAAAACCTCCACGATGCCCCATCCAGTGCAATTGAAGGCTGGCTAATACGATTTTGTTAACGTAGCAGCTTGGGCGAGTTGGTTGCACATGATAACACACACCACAGCGCACTATAGCAAATAACACTCACACCTTACACACGAAAAATAAAGCAAAATTCAAACAAACCGCGCTGACTGACAACTCTTTTTATATAACTTTGTCTTCTTCAACCTCTAGCACCACCGAATTTCCCAATTCACGCGCACCAATCTCCTAGATGCCTAAAAATGTTTTCTCTTTTTCTGTCAGGTGTAAAGATGGTGTACTTATACAGTTGTTATAGTTCCTGGCGATATGTTCTGCTTCGATAATTTCTCGAGTTAATTGGTTTCTGTTCCTGCCTAAAATTGTACAGGATGGCAAGTGAACGTCGCACCCACAGTCCCGGCAGTGTATACACTGCCGGGACTGTGGGTGCGACGTTCACTTGCCATCCTGTACAATTTTAGGCAGGAACAGAAACCAATTAACTCGAGAAATTATCGAAGCAGAACATATCGCCAGGAACTATAACAACTGTATAAGTACACCATCTTTACACCTGACAGAAAAAGAGAAAACATTTTTAGGCATCTAGGAGATCGGTGCGCGTGAATTGGGAAATTCGGTGGTGCTAGAGGTTGAAGAAGACAAAGTTATATAAAAAGAGTTGTCAGTCAGCGCGGTTTGTTTGAATTTTGCTTTATTTTTCGTGTGTAAGGTGTGAGTGTTATTTGCTATAGTGCGCTGTGGTGTGTGTTAATACGATTTCCCACAAAGCCAATACCAATTGCATCTTTTCAAACTTTTTTTGTAAAATATTTTAAAAATATTATACAATAGCGTCTTTCTGCACTGATAAACAATTATTGCACTCTTCTACGTGCTTTGCAATTTCCAAGTTAGTTGCATTATTCTTCACAGCTCTCTAGTGCTCGAGTAATCTTTTGTTCAAATGGCACTTTGTTTGTCCGACGTAGGAGAACGCACAGGCCATTGGATTGTCGTAAACAACACCAACCTGGCATTTTACGGGGACTTCCTTACGCCCGTAAAATGCCAGGTTGGTGTTGTTTAGGACATTCCAATGGCCTGCGGGTTCTCCTACATCGGACAAACTAAGTGCCGTTTGAATGAAACATTACTTGATTACAAGAGGGCTGTCAAGAATAATGAAACAAACTTGGAGATTGCAGGGTGCATAGATAAGTACAGTTATTGTTTGCCAGTGTGGGAGGACACTATTGCGGTAAATAAAAAAAAAATTTGTACAAAAAGCATTTTAAAAGAAACAGTTAGGACTAGCTCTGTGTGAAATTGTATTAGCCAGCCTTCAATCGCACTGGATGTGACGTCGCATAGGTTTTTAATTTTGCAAGGGGTGGAATAGGCGAAATTAAAACATTATATAAAACCTTTTTTTTCTTTTTATATGGTTTTGTTGGAGAAGTCCGAGTCATGTACCATTGGGTGTGGTATGAAGGACGTGCGATGGATTTGTAATGTGTGCAAACTCTGTGCAGGTCATCTGAGGGGTGGCATAAAAAACACGATGTGTGGATAAAATCTATTCAGCTGCGTTGGAGGCGTGGGCATTTGTCCTTTGCACCCTTTGTGGCCCCTCGTCTCCGGTTAAAATCATGTGTAACGTTAAACAGCTTGCCTGTTTATTAACCTTGTCTTCTGCATGTTGTGCACAATGTTGCCTACAGCTAAGAAAAAAAAGGGCTCACCCTGCAACCAATGCAACATGAGCAGCATCTGTTTTCTACTTGTAGCTGACAGCAGGCAGGGCCAGGACAGCTGCTAGCTTCGCTGGACCAAGCAATGCCCGTTGTCTGCTGATGCAGGAGGTTCTCGTACAGGCGACGACATTTCTTCTTGGAAGTGGCACCATCATCATCGTCACCACCAACCTGGGACAAGATAAGTCAGCAGGCCCAGTTTGACTCTGTACTAGATTTGTCATGAATACAGACAAGCAGCCTTTTTCATTTGTTGTCTCCATTTCATTGCTTTCTTCTTTAATTCTTGTTCTATCACTGGGTAAAGTAGTAGATCATTACAGTAATCTCCCTCCTTTCTTGGATTTTACCATCCCCAAAAGAGCCCGGCTTCTTCGATAAATGTCAGCCGTTTTATAGAGGCCTGACCCACATGAGGTGTCTTCACAGTATCTTCAAGACAATCTTAGCAGTTCTTTTTTGGCATTTAGCAGGTTTATATACCTCGTCTCATCTTACAATGGACCGCAAAGGACGCTAGCGACCCTCAAAGCCAATCCTATGCTGTATCAGTATCATGTGACCTTGAGAAGGGGGCAGCGATATGGGGGGTGCCTGTGCATGTGATCTCAGGTGTGGAACGGCTGCGCCATTTGTGCCATTTTGCACGAGACGCATTTGTCTGCGCCATCCTGCGCCATTTTGCGAAAACTGCGCCACAGCCAATACTACCTTGCGGCATTATGCTCCAGATCACACAACGTGTGCCAAAAAAATTGTATTTTGTCTTGGTTCCGGTTTTTATCGACTCGGTTGGCAACAATGAGCGCGTTTAGCTTGATCGGCATTGCAATCCTTTGTTTTGTTTATTTTCCCTGTGTATCTCGAGTCGGAAGCGCGCGAAAAGACTCGGGGGTCGGATTCCAAGCGCTACATCACCTGTGACTGGATTGTTATTCTTCAACCATAAGCGGTTAAGCAAGTCGGCCGAGGTGAGGTAGAGTCGTTAAGCGTCAGATTGCCTGAGGCTCTGCAGCCTGAGTTCCGGACGTCAGCCAGTTGAAAACATATCAGCAAACGATTCCCTTTAGTACTTCATCGTTAGAAGTTGGAACCACATTCCTGCAAGATAAATCGTGATTTGATAGAACTGAAACGCGGTCTGGTCCGAAACCTTGCCGGCCAGCAGCTCTCACGCGAGCGGTAGATTTGCTCGGCGTACTTTAACCTTGCTCCGGCTTATCGCTTCGAATATGATAACTTTGTTAATCGTAGTCTTCTGCTTCAATATTGAGTTGTAGAATAGGTACTAGGTACGATAGGTTGTACAATAGTACAATTAGTTGCCCTGTTCCTCCGTGCAACTGCACGTCTGTTGCTTATGCCTGTCACGTTGTTCGCACATATAATTACTATGTCGAGCACATGTGGGTTGTGCTCGACGTAGTAATTATAATGCAAAATGCACTTGCGAACCAGCACTGCTGGTTTGCATTTTGAGCAGCTGAAAGCCACTCAGAAAATATCAAGGACACTATTTTCAGAAAATTATGGTACTTGCTTTTTGGTTCTCATTACGGCTCACAACGTTTCAAGTTTTTGCATCTGTTACACTGTTACCTAGGTTCTTAACCACTCATGTTCATCTTTGCTGCTGAGCACAATTAAAGTTGCTCCTGTGCTCGTTCGTCTAAGACACAAGCTGGAGTGCAATGAAAACTGATCTGAGCTGCTCCTAGCCTGCTCCAGAATGTAGTTTTAGCTGCTCCCAACCTGCCAAAACAGCTGTTTCAGCTGCTCCCATGGCTGCTCCCAATCACACTTCATGAGTTCCACCCCTGGATCTGTTGAGACCTCTGAATTCGCTGGGATGTTGACTTGTGTCATCTGCTACGGCCCATTGTAAGGTGCAATCGAGTATAGGTGTAGAGCTCCTGAGCGTTTCAAGCGCAGAGCTTTTCCGAGTGTTTCTTTGTACATCTAGACAGGCTAAATCTTTCTGCTTTACATTTTGTTTCCGAAAGTGTCAGTGGATAGGCAGAAGTGGCTTGCGAATTGGCTTTGTTAGCTCGGCAACTGGCTTGACTCGGTGGCCGAAGATGCCAGTGTTCGAAGGCATATTTGGTATTTCGAAATATTTTGTGGAATGCAGATTCTGTTGTTTTTGCTGATGACAGTGTTGCAGCGTTGCCACTCTGGAGTTGGAATGATTCCGGAATCATTCCACACTTTCGTGACCCCAGAATGGAATGGGAATTGAATTAGATGGGGGGGCCTTTAGCCCAGAATAAAGTGGGAATGGAATGGGCTTGGGTTTTTTTTTGAGAGCTACGTCGATCTTCAGCTAGGCTCTATGACCTGCTGGCACAACATTAGTGCTCTGTCAAAGTGGCTCTTGAAACGGCATCATTGCACTTTAGCTGACTGATAGCTTGATTGTTTGATCGGCTCATGCTCCTCCGTGGATGAAAGTGGTGCACCCCCAGTGAAGCAACCAAAACTGAAAGGTTGTAGATGGACAAGTTGTTGTTCCTGGTGCCACGAGAATCAACAAAGCGGCTATTATAACCATGCACAATTACTTATTAGCATGTAGCTTTTCACTCAGCAAATCGATGAGTGTTTGCATGGAAAACAAAAAAAGAATTAGGTCGAATATGGTAAAAGAAATTGCGAGAACAGCAAACAGAAGGGTACATCGGAATCCACTTTTATAATGATAATGAGAAAACCCCAAAATTCAGTCGCTACAACTGATTATCGTTGCATCTGGACGGGCATCGAAGAGTGCCAGAAATAATACCCTATGTTGGAGGATAGAGCAAGTAACTTGCCAATGCAACATACCGATCACATCACACAATATCAGCTCTAAAATAAACAGTTTTCTTTATTTAGTAGTTTATACAACAAGCATTTGATAAATTGTGCATAAAAGGCAGGAAATCGACACTTATACGCCATTCCAATGCACACTAATTGCCCAGTTCCTATGCGTGTACCGCCCGCAGTCTTATCGCATGTACGAAATTCGACCTGTAACTGAATCATGAGGAAAACACCTTGAACGTAAATTGGTGACAGACGATCATCGACGATGGCACAGATGATGTTGTTGACACAGAAAATTCCCTCGTCGACACTGCCATTGCTATGTCCACAGACGCTCATGTGTTTGGGCCCCCGCCTATTTGCCTAGCCTTGCGAGCCGCCCAGAGTACCGTTCCGCTAATAAAGATGAATGAATGAAGGAATGAAGATCGTGGGACTGCGACGTTGCCATCGGGTGGCAAAGGTGGCGCTTGGAAAGAGCTCATAGATTTGGATGAGGCTCCAAGCTAGTATTTCAAATCTTGATGCTAATGTTTCAGTCTGCTTTGTTTCACCTCCACCAAAATTTTCAAGACTTGCGTTTTTACCGCATGCAGTTTGCCGGTGCCATCTTTTAAATGTGATAACTGACGCCGCTGATAATGATATCGGTTAGACCGCGCACAGCTAACACTCACGGTGAATTTCAATATGCATCCATATGGCATACGCACATTGCAAGTTAGGTGTCATTCATTCAACATTTCTTTTTTCGTTGTTTTTTTGTTGTTTTTGCTGATTCTTAAAATATTTTTTAATTGGTGCATTTAGGATCGTTGTGACTGTATGGGGTTTTATTTTTGCATAGACCCCACGCAAAAACACGCGACTCTCTGGAAACGGTTCGTTATAAGCAGTACATTGTTATATGTGCTATTGTTATGAGTGGATTGTACCATATATGCTTTAAGGCAGGTTTGGCGGCATGGTCCTACAGTGCCTCGTGCTGGCACCGCAGTGATTGCACTTTGTCAGCAGTTTTGTGTGCTCGCAGCAGCGAATGGTGGTCTGAGGCAGGTGTATGCAGCATTGCTTCGGTCAGCGTACTAGCGGTGCTGTTGTGCAGGTATTCAATGCAAACAGCAAGATGGCTTCTTTTTTGTGCCATGCACGAACCGGAAATTTTTAGGCTTTATCAAGAGAACCTGCTGACCGTGTGCTCGGTTTAAATTTCTGGCGTCTGTTGTGAGCCTTTTACACTTGATTGCGCGATTGATGACGGCAGTGACACCAAGTATCATGAAGCGCTTTGTGCGACTTCTGCTCGACTTAGTACATTGAGTGCTTTGGGGAGGCATTTTGCATATACTTTCTTGAAGTTGTCTTAGCATTTTATAACGTCAGCTTTATGCTGCTTTTCCCAATAACGCAGTGTAGCTGTCAAGAGTAATTCTTTATTTACAATTAAAGGGGCCCTGCAAGGACTTTTTACTGGGTTTTAATTTGCACTGCACCTGAGCGCACTGAACGTAGTAACTTAATGAAACTTTTCTCGAATTTCGCTTTCTTTTAAAAGTTATAGGCAACTTAAAATTACAAAAACAAGCAAAAAATAACCTCCTTCATGACGTCGCTTGAGTGGCTGTGAACTAGAGGAGGGGTAGTGAGCTCAGCAAGCGGTTACGGCTGCCGCATTCCGTGTCGACGGCCGGAGAGGGCGCCACTAAAGTATGTGTTGGATAGGCTGTATGAAGCAGGCGGCCAGGGCAGCTCGCATTGCATTTTCTGCACGATTAAACACTAATTCGGCATGACACTTCATTGGCCACAAATGATAGCTAACAGGGGGTAAAGATCAGTTCAAAACGGGAGCCACTTCGCTCTGCCATACCGCCAAAAGGCCAAACCGCGAGCCAAAGCTGCTCACCGAAGGTCTTCGGAACGCTCGAAACCGGTAATATCCTCCGGTTCATACGACCGCAGCGCCGCCGCATACATCCGGGACCTTTCTATGCTCACCGCTCGTTGGTGCCTGATCACACTACACCTTTCGACTATGCGCTACCTTTTCCACTGCTTGGTGGCGAATATGTGGACAGGTCATTTCTTGTTTCTGTACTTTCTAAACTGCATTTGTTTCTTTTCTGATCTAAAATAGTGAACAAAAACTACTTTTATAAATAATTGAAATGGTTCCCGCCACTTATATTTTGTATTTCGACTAAAAAGAAGCTTTTAGCGGCTCTGACCAGTAGTAAGCCCAGGACCAAAGACGTCACATATCACGTGCTTTCGGCACCGCGGGTCGCCCCCGTAGGTGGAGGAGGTTTCTGCGTCATCCGGTTAAAATATGACACACTGATATTTAGTTACTCTCTCCATGCCCGCTGGCTTGCCCGAACCCCAAGAGACCTGGAAACCGCAGAGTAAGGGGATGCTTAAATATGATTGCAGGGCCCCTTTAAGGAATTAGAGGAATTATAATGATCGAGTTCAGCCATTTCCGGAGTGGAAATAGGCCCAGGTTCCCCATTCCTAGGAGTGGAAAGGAGTGGAATTATGAGAAAGTCGTAATTTCCGGAATGAAGTTGGAATGGAATGGGGGATTGCCCATTCCGCAACACTGGCTGATGAGAGGCTAATATTCTCTGTGGTGGAAACAAGGCCATACCTGCAGCAAGATTAGTTGAAAAATTTAAAGAATTGTCTGGCATGCTAATGCTAGTACCGTATTTACTCGAGTAATAGCCGCACTACTTATGAACAACGCCCTTGCGTCTACTTTACCGCAGTATTCACATACAGCCAATCATCACGTTGCGCATGAGTAACATAGCGAATAAACAAATAGAGAATACGATTCGCCATACAAATGCAGTCTTCACGGATAGTACCTTCGCGCGAAGACGTTATCTCTGTCCTGTAAACCTGGAATCATGCTGCCGATCGCGGTGATTGGCTAGCCGCGTACTCCGCAGAAAAGCAAACCGTCACGTTTTCTTCATAAACAGTGTGGCTATTACTCGAGTTAGTACGGTATATAGAGTGAATGCAAGCAATGTGGTACATCCACGGACCAAATTTTAGAGACTACCAAAAGAAAGCGAAGCTCATGGATGCATGTTAAAGTTCGGTCAGCTGTACTACATTACAAATGCTACATAATGTGACAATCAATCTGGATTTTAAATTTTTTCTTTTGTGTGTGTTTTTAGTTAAAAGGGTGCTGTACTCATTGCAAAACAACCAAATGGTGAAGTGGGCATTGACAAGGGCAAGTTATGTATTGATTCCCAGATCATAAAAATGCTTAATCATGCATACAGTAGGTACCTTTAGTTACACAACTGTCAGGCCTGTCTTTTTGTTTTTGGTGACTAGACCAATCATTATGGCGGAACTTAACCTTGTTTATGTGCCATTATTTTGCGGTCTCTAACAAGGTTGTTTCACTTCTTCAAGACATGAATCCAGCTGAGAGTTTATGTAGCATTTTCTGGTGAAACTGTCTAAGCACCTCACCTGGCTGCTTTGGAGCTCATGAACAATGGCACACCGCCTCTGCGTTGAGGTGAAGCGGCAGCACGGGGGCAGAAAGTTTGCCCTCGCACGTCGGGCATTCTGGGCCTGCACGATCAAGAGGGCATTTATGAGGGTTTCACTTGTCTTCATCATCTTTCATCAACAATAAGGATAGCTCCTTGATTTCTACTATTGCAAGAGCAGAAGGCTCTTTACTGCCTAGCTGTTGGTGGACTGTCTAGAGTATGTTGAGGAAATGGTGCTACAAGGTGTAAAGGCACAAGCCTCCGGTTTCTTGCATGATTGTATAGGGTATTTTTGCGCCGATTCAAAAGGTCATGGATGTACAGAACACTCGGCAATGGTTTATCATCGAGGGCATGCACTTGAAAAGAATCGACTGCCATTTTTTCACTCTTCGGATCTCTTTTACAGACACCCAAATATCATGGCATCCTGTATGTGTTGATTCATAATCCCAGTTGTGGAATAACATATGCAAATGTTTTGACTAGTATTCAGCAAGTAGAACCCCATTAGTTCAAATCAGATTATTCCAAGTAGGAGGCCCAAATGAAGGGGCTTATCAAATGACTGAAAAGGCCATGTTACACCTCTGTGCCTGATATCCTTTTTTTTTTTATGAGGGGGGGAGGGTTGATTGTAGATAACACATAAATAAGAATGTTCAGCTGCTTAACACACTAATCACACTTATGGTTAACTGTTGCATCTATAATAATGCATCACTCACTTGAACTGAACGTAGGTCTTTTCCTTTGTGCTTGTTTGTGAGTCGCTTGTAGCGCATGAGGATCATGTTGTCATTTCGTGATGGCATTTCCCTTGAAATCTGGGCCCACTTGCCTGGAGATCACAGATGCCAACGGTTACTAAAAAATAACTGCATGTTTGGATGTCCAAGCTATCCAACTAGCAAATTCGCAGTCATACTACCATATCTACTTGAGTGTTGGTGTTTCCTCATGCTTAAATTAACGTTGTTACAGATATTCATCGAAGGGACACTGGGTGCCACCCCAAATTGTTTTTCATAAAGTGGCATTTTTACTTCTTGTGGAGTTTTTATGTTGCCCAGTTTTGTGGGTTTTTTTTTCTTAAATTTTAAATGAATGTTTGTTTCCAATATACAAAATGCAACTAAGAGCAGAAAGCCACCAAAACGAAACTTCGACTACTCAGTATCTAAAATAGAAAGCTGGTTTCCACTACACTGCCACAGTCAAACCCAGCACATGTGACTAGGGAAGAAAAACATGTCACATACATAAACCCTCCACCCTGCTATGGATCTGGTGCCATGGCATAAGAGAAACATTTACTCTTAAATGTGCTTCAGCTCAGTGCAAAAAAAAAAAGGAAGCTTTTTTGCCACATATTTTTCCAGTGTTACCATTTAAGGCAGAGACTTGTGCTCTGGCCAGTTCGTGCTTTCACAATTTGGATGAGTGCCGAGGCACATCATGCAGACACTTTCCTTTGCCTTCCCGTTCAGCTAGGGCTATTGTCTGCACATTAGAGATGCATGCCAAGAAATGAAAGTCTGCTTTTAAATATTTTCCGGACTTGTCCGACGATGACCATTTATCACTGTCTTCATATTCCACCTGCCTTTTTACTGCCAATAATTTGACAAATGCTTTGGGATACCTTACCTGCGCCATGCTTCGCGACGAGATCTAACAGCTTGGCATCTTCGTCGGGAGTCCAGTGCCCAAAGGTGTAGTTGCCAGAGAAAGAGTTCACGTATCTAGAACAGAAACGTCAACAAAAAAAACATAAAAAATAAAAACTGACTCTTTCATGGTCATTGACAACTTGAGAACTCCAGGAAGGTTATCTGGTTGTTCTGCCTGCAGCAAAAGCAAGCTTTGTTTCTTTAATATTGTTCTGGTGTTGCTCAAGCTTTAAGAAACACATACACACCATTGTGACGCTAAAGATAGGCAATTGAAAGTGTTCCCTGTATTCTTGTCCCATCAGTGACTCTGGCAAGCTTCAGCAGTGCAATGTTGGTGTGAATGCCTTGCCTTTCTCTGCACTGGTTTGCCGTCCTCCCTGGGAGGAAATCCTTGATCCGAGTCCAGCGCTCCCCGTGTGCTTGTACTGCTGCGATCAGCATCTGAATATAATAATTTGTGCATTTTGTCAGACATATTTTTGGATGCATGTCCTTCAACTAAATACACTATGAATGTAGTGGAATACTGCAGTTCTTGAAGTTTTGTTTGACAAGCTTGTTGTGTCGAGAAAACATTTTCAGCGAGGCAACATTTCATTAGGTACAGTGAAATCTCAAGCGTTGAACCTCTACCTTTTTTGGACAGTCCCCGAGCACACTGTTAAGTGCCTCATTTAGGGAGGTTTTGCTTTATATATACATTGTACCCACAATTGGATGCCCCTACAAGGATACTTCCTCATTGGAGATTTCAAGGTCATTATTAATGCAAATGCATTAACTGTCCGATGTAGCGAACCAACATCATCAGCTTTGAAACCACGCCAAACATTGGCCAAACGGCACCTAAAATCCCCTTTCCCAAGTGAAGCCAATTTCTGATGGATTATGCTCCCATTGGCTGGCGCGCGTCATCAAGGAACAAGGCTCCCATTGGCTCTGGTGCAGTGTAATTCCAAGAAAAAGCCACCATAGAAGACCTCTCCATGGCGGTGCAGTGCACGTTGTGGTACGGCTGCCAGTTAGAGGAGGGAGTGCAGCCTCCCTGGAGCCCGTCCGGGCAGATGCCAGGGAGGCTGCACGGCCGAGCTCGGTACAACCATTTCCCGAAAGCATGCGCTGGGCCGTCCAACAGCAACACGTGGTCGTCCACGCCACTATGCCACAGACAAACTGAGGGAGCGGAAGAACGACACTCATGCTTTCACATTCACAACTCATAAAAAGTGCTTAGGTGTCCTCGAACTTTTAATTACTGTTTGAAAAAGTTTTGATTACTACTATAGCTCTTCCACATACACAATGAAACAGTGTGCATATTAATGTTTCTTCAAGCCTAAAAAAATAATGAAATGAAGATCAATTTTGAAAGTGCAAATCCATCTCATGGCACAAGTCATAAAAAATAAATGATATTTTCGTTGCTACTTATCTCCTTTGCAATTTTGAGATGGTTGACTACAGTGTTACTGGGTTTTGTGTTTGAACAAGGATATAAGGAATGTGGGGCACCAGGCAGGTGCAAGGGGAACGACATAAGGGGGACAACATGCAAGGGTCAACAACACCAGGTTGTTTGAGAGGGACAGCATGGCTGTTGTTTTCCCTTTTTAGGTTGCATATCACAAAAAGTATGAACTGACGGTATGCTTCTTGGGGTGCATAGGATGTGTTTTCTCTGATCTTTAGTTTACTTTCTTTGTTTCCTTAAATTTTTGCCGTGTGTTGACCTACTGACGGTGCAGCACTTTTCTTTTTTTCTGAAAAAGCTCTTCGTGATCTTGCTTCCTTAAACTGCTCATTTAACCATTTCTGTATTTGATAGTTTTTCTGGATTTAAATATTGAAATTATCTGTTTAAACCAGCCTACAAAGTTCTCATGGGACAAATTTTTCTGTTACCAGTCATCCTTTCCAATCGGTTCCTTTTTAGATAGTGTAAGGTGAACTTAGGAGTCACAAATAAAAGCAGCTTGGCTCGGGCCGGGTGTAGGCTCACATTTAGAAAACCTGTCGGGTTGGGGCGGGTCAGGGCCAGCTTTGGGCCAGGCCTAGAAACTCTGGTGCCTGCATTGGTCTAATGCAGGTGACCATAAACTCACAGAATACATCAAGATTGACGGCAAACAGGCACTGTCACTTGCAAAACTGTCTAGTATATAAATATATATAGGAAAGGGAAATACTGGGGTTTTATGTCACAAAGCACCTGAGGTTGTGAGCGACACACCAAAGTCTGTTTGGGGAAGGGTCCACCCAGCGCTTCAACCCTACTGTTTGCGCTCTGGAGGCTGAAATGGAACCCTTATGCCACGGAGGCAGTTGGAGGACCTCATATTTCATTTTATCCTAACAGCCCCTCCAGCTGCTCCTGTAGTGCCCTTGCTCTGTTTCCAGTGGGTGCAGCAACTATGAATTGTTTTTTTCAGTGGGAAATGAATTTTTTGGGGAGATATTTTTTAGGTGTGCTCAGGTGACTGGGAAAAGTTTAGTGAGGCCCCTTGGGATTATTAGTAAGAGGCACACATCAACGAACAAGATGATGATGTACAAATGAAAATCACCATGTCCTCTTCTTTCGACCACTTTCCTCGACGAAGATCGGGGTTGAGTGCCCGCTCCCAGCGGTAGTAGAGCTGTGTCCTCGTCCTGCCCTCCATGTGGTAAGACACTGCAATGGGCAACCACACCGTCATCCACTTTATGACGAACGTTTCATAAATTAAAAGAGAGGGAGAGCATGGATGATGTCCTGGAAGCTGTCAGCCATAAAATGCTGCTGATATTGGCCCTAAAGAAGCTAAGTCTCTTAGAAAATATTGGATATTATTCTGAAGTTTCTAAAAGACTCGAATTTCCTACTTGTTTTATTCTTTTGAGTGATGCAATTTGTCTTGTCCACTTCTCTTTCAGATAAAAGGGTGTAGGATTGCAAATGGCATGAAATATTTTATGTTCTAGCCCAGTTGTGGCCAGACGGACATTGGCGAAGAGCCATAAAAAATTACAATTTTTAAGTGAAAAGCCGCAGGAAAAAGGGGGCATAGCTGTTTTGTTCTGTTGTTGTTTTTTTTGCTACTGCTCTTATCTTAGTTGATGGCCACGTCGAGTTCAAAAGCTATTGCTTATGTTTCTTTATTGTGTGTTCCCATTTGTGAAACAAGCACCTTGAAGTTCAACTCAAATGACTTCGTTGAAGTCCTGAGCAATTCAGTTATAGGTGTTTTTTTTTTCCGTCAGGGTCGCACGCTGTTTTAATTTCACCGCCTACACTATCGAGAAACTTCTTTTGATAGTCGGATCAGTTTATTGCCTGGCAGCAGTATACATCGATACGAATATCAACAAAAGCTTTTGACCTACAAGAAATAGTGGCAGCTAGAAGGTTGCCAAATGATACAGTCTTTTATTCTTTATTTTATCCTGATTTTTCTGAAAGGGTGGGGGGTGGAAGAGGGGGGGGGGCGCTTACCAGGAAGCTGCAAGTCGCGGTTGGTCCCCGGAAGAGCCAAAGTTTTACCACCCCTGTTTTAGACCTATTCATGGTCTCTTATACTGAGTCACTGGGTTGAGACATGTGCGTTTTGGTATATTCTCAAACATCCTTGGGCTGTCTATAGGCAAGTTTGAGACATTTGTTTGTTCAAAACAATTCTGTGATGTATCACTCGACAACGAAAATAGGGAATAAAATTAATCCGACAAATACATGTTTCCTAGTGCTTGCTACTATACATTTTCATTTTAAAAATGACTTTTAGTAATGTTGTAGCTGAACATGTCTGATGCATCTTTGAAATCGCTTTGTTTTTCTCTTATTGCAATGTGCAAATATCATTATCTGATAACAACTGATGTATCACCATCATTGAGGAATCCCTGGAAATACAAGGCATCTGTCAAAATTGAAGGAAGGTCAAAAAGTGTTAACAGGTTTCAGCTGCAAGTAACAGTATGAGACATATAACTGGGCTATTGGTATATTTAATCATTATAATGAGCATTTACCTGAGTATTGCCTGCAAGGAAAGATTAAAATTTAAAATTGCCGGCATGAAAAGAAATAGGAAATGTAGCTCATTCTAATTTTTCGCATGCATTTCTTTTGTTGATCAGGCTATTATATTAGTTTTGAACCTCATGTTAGTCTGGCAAAAATAGGAAAAAGAAAACCTGGTATTTTTATTGCAGTAGAACAGCAGGTTAGGGTACTAGGTTGATGGTAATCTCCGTTTCCTAAGCCTTTGTAAATTGCGCCGCCCATGTATTTACAATCCTTATAGTATGCCTTGAAATTTCTTGGTACAAGTAAGGTTCTAGATTTTAAAGGTTATTGCTATTTCATTGTACGTAGTCACCTCATGTTCATCCATTTAAAGTACTGGAGCTCCATCTTTAACATCTACTTGGCTTTAAATTTGAGTAGTATGATAATTTGACTAGTGAAGAATCGAGGACCTGTGACATAACAGGTCCTGTATTTGTTCCTATTATATATGTTAACTTTTTATGTTCCTTGCAGCTATTTTAAGATGCTTAAAAAAGATGCATTTTTGGGTACCTTGTGTCCAAGGTATCTCGTCTCCTTTCCGGCACAGTGCAATGAGTGTCAGCAAGTTCTTGTCCTCTTCCTCCGAGAAATGCCTACAGAATTAAAAAAAAAAAAGTTTTATCAGTCTATTTTATAAATATTGTTGAGGAAAGGAAAGAGCAGATAGTTGGTTGGTTGTTCTCATTGAAAAAGTTGGACATTTTCAGTTCATTGAAGATATCTTTAGGCTATGCTTTCTACATACTTTTAAATTACTATGTGGTAAATTGACCAACATTTACTTATTGCAGGCATTAGTTATAACTTCATGCCATTTATAAGGAAGCGAGGGTTCCATTTTGTTTGTGCACATTTTAAAAATTCACTACAGAAATGTTGAATGGTGGTGAATGACATTGCAATGGTGGCAAGGATTGTGTACCCTTTCTTGATCCTTGACGTTAGCTTGTGGTGGTACCGCTCGGCACACTGGAATGCTGTTCTTGTTCCCTGTGCATAAAAGGAATTGTGTTGGTGAGGAATGCTGTAACATTCATCCTCTTGTATGTACAGGTGATTTGTTTCAGATGAAACACTTCAAGGTTATTACATATGACATCCATGAATTTAGGAAATATCCTACCCCCATGCGCTCTGCAACAGTGTCCCAGTCTTTGCAGTTTTGTTCCTTCGCAATAGCTTTCAACTGTGCATCCTCTTGTTTTGTCCATTTCACTGTGCTCTTGCTCAATGCATTCTGCCACATCAGTTCACATGAGAGAGGGCTTCGTTCAGCTTGGAACTGTAAATCGATAATGGGCAGTTATTATGAGTTTTAAGCAGCCTGGCTTTCTTGGAAAAGTTTTACTTACATCAACTGCTGAAATCATGAGCCAGTCTGCAGACCTGTTTGCCATTTTCTGAAGCTCTGCAACGCCCATCTTTCTGCAAAGATTTTATGGCTGTTGTTGGTTGTTCTACTATACCAGAGTTCTTGCACTATTGAATGATAATCTCATACAAAACATGCCACTCAAATCCCAACCAAATTTGGAGTCTCGAAACACTGGTAAATAGGCATTTGTTAGGTCCGAGAGCAAATATGCATACAAGTCAGGGTGTGTTTCACCACTTTACACTAAAACCCACGCATCAGACTTCACCGCTGTACATCGGTGCACGCGTTTAGCTTCTCCACCATACACCGGCATGCACAAATAAACGGCTGTCATGGGGAAGCATCTCGGTTTACAAGGGGGGCACAGAACTGTAGTGTGGGCCTCTGATATGTCCTTCGCTTATTTTGCAAATTAATCAAACATAGCGGTGGGCACTTATTGTGACATGGGTGCATGCCCGGTATTTTACATATGTGTTTGGATTGAAACTTTAATTTGTATGCCATATCTTTAGGAATTACTTTAGTTCTTTTATACTGAGAAACTTCAATTTATATTTATATGTAACAGACAGCGACATAAAAATAATTCCTAGAAACAATTATACACAAATAATAAATTCAGTGCAAAAGTGTGGAGTGCATTGTTTCATTGCTTTTTGGGTTGTGGCTTCTCTCAGACCAAAGGTTTCAGAGAGTTGGATTTTCTGGAGCCATGATTTTTTGTTGACTTTAAGACAAACAATTTTCATGCGCATGAAAATGAAACAAAAGGTTTATAAATTGGGGTAATGGTCAATATAGAAACATACTTGATGCTGTCAATTTGTGCTTTAAGATCTTGAAGCTTTTTAAAAGATTCCTTGTCAGTTTTTGCATGTCGCTCCAGGATTTCCAGCCTGAAAGGAAAATGCATTTCTTTTTAGGATGTGGGGCCTGATTTTTGGGTTTTGCGTACAGTGAAAACAATTCTGGTTTCAGGTTTCTTTTTAAATTTTTCTGAGAAGTGAAGGATTTTCCTATAATTGCTGTCCAACTTAAACATTTTTATATAATTCTGATGCTTTAATACTGTGACTTGACATTTCCATTTTTATTATTGCTTTATTTTTATATTTACTCTCAACAGTTTGCAAATAAATACTTCTAGATCAGTTGAAGGTCCATATGCCAAAAACTAAGAGCATAGAAGAATTTTATCCTGACATCGATTAGTGTGTCTAAAGCAAGTAAATATGGGTTTGTAACTATTCAAGTGGACGGGGAAAGGATTTGAGGGTGGTACATGCCATGAAAGAATAGCTATTGCATTGAGTCATCCAAGGGCATTATGGTGAAAACCAACTATATAAGCCAAGGTACTTGATTCTTGCATTGGAACTCTTAGTTATGAATAATGCGCCTTGATGTTTTCCACAAAAGTTAACTTTCATACAAAGACACCATTTTAAGAACGTAAGCAAAGGTTAGTTTTTTCGGTACCCTATGCCAAACAAGTGTGTCAAGCTTGTAACATGTAGTAGTTAGAAAGACGCTACAATCCATTCTGTAGTACCCAGATCTATCAAATAAATGTTGTGTTTAGTCAGCATGCAAAGCTTAAAATCACAAATGTTCAGAATTGTGTCTACAAAAATGTGAAAGGAAATTGGGTCTCTAAGAGGCTCTCCTAGCTTATAATGTCATTTTCAATGTTGCATTATCTTTATAACATAACTTAATTCTCCTACAGTGAACATATCCACTGCTAGGTACTATGTAAGATAGAAGATAATGAAACTCCGAGGTCATAAAAGTTCCTGCCCGAATCACAAGAATGCAAGAATCAAATGGTGTACAACAAAGTGATGAGTCTAATGACTAGATGTACAATGCTCTACAAATAATAGGTTATTGGCACTTACCTAGTGGTAAGTGGCTCCATAATCATTTTAATAAGATTCAACTTCACGGAGTTGCGGAGCAAGTTTGTTTCCTTGGCGTGCCCTAGAGTGGGCACATTGTTTACACTGAGTTAGATTGTTTCTTTTTTTTTTTTAATTTTTGAAGGTATTTTTTTAACTAGTCAGACACTACATACACATTTTAGGAACCTTGAGGTATGGGTCTTGCTCATGCAGATCTTTCTTTTTCATCTCGTCTTCATTTGCGGGAGCTCTCTGTATACAGGAAAAAAAAAACACATGAACATGAGCGCTACTCTCACATATACTACTGACTAGTACTTCAATACTGGCCAGAGTATTACCACAGGTATTACTTAATAAACATGCCAAGAAAAAGTAGTTGGAGGTTTTGAGAAATACAAAAGAAAGTTTAGGATAGCTTTAGTGATAATAAGATCCTTTTTTCTTAATAAGAAATTCATCTCATTATGGGAGATGCCTTGTGCATGTTCAATGCTGAACTAATGAGATTTACTGTTATTGAGAAAACTAGGTCTAATTAGTTTTTTTATATAATTGCTTGTTACTGGAGTGTATATGTTGAGTCTAGGTATTATTTTCAAAACAATGGCTGAGTCATAGCTAGTTATCATTTAAAAAGCTAAAGGCACTTCAAAACTTTTTAATATGATGCCTATTATAGGATACAATTAGTAAAGGATGTGTGTTAAAAAGGATAGGAAAGAAGAAACAGGAATGAATTTAGCTAGCAGAGATTTTTGCTGATTTCATTAGAGAATCTGCCTTTATTCTATTGGGACATTCTGAATGACAAATAATAATAGGTAACTGCTTTGTTACACAGAGCAGCATGGATTTGGGATTAATGGGAGCTTACTTTTTTGCTCTGAACCTAGGTTTTGTATGTTTTTGCTTTGAACCTTCGTTCTGGGGCCTAATTCTAGCTTGAATAGTTTTGAAATTGCCAGCTGGCAAACACAAAAATATATAAATATATATTATAAAGGACTGGGCATAAGTGTGATATTTATTGACCCAGCCCACATCGAACTGCCTGTATTATGGTTCATCATGTTCAAAATAGAATTTCACATTACTTATGTACACCTGCCTGGCTTCTGAAGCACGGCATGTGCACTTTTTCATATACACAAGCAAAGCATCGTCATCAGCACCTGTCTCACATCCTTTGTGTAGGCATTAGTGCTGATTGGGTGAATTGTATACTCTGGTCATTTTCTTTCTGTATTTATTAACTCTTCTCATATCTGCGCAATTTTGATATGGGCTAAAGTTACTTCATTAACAGGCTTACTGAGTTTCCTGCTGTCCTGTTTGACATTCTAACTAGGACAATACAGTGACAAAAAAAAAAAACAGTAACGTAATTCTTGTGTGGCAGTTGGGAGTAAAGCAGCGAAGAAAACCAGATGTCCCATTCTCGAAATAAACGATTTGCAAGCAGAAGATATGCTTCAATTTCTATCGGTTTGTGACTCGTAAGTAGTGGGACCAGGCATTCCAAAATTAGAACATGTGAAATTGGGTACCATCAACTTATTCTGTATGTCATTAACACGCCCTTGGTGTTTGTGCTGGAATCAGAGTCCAAGACATGTAGCACTATTCTGGTGACTAGAATTGTGATAATACCAAAAACCAGCATTAATAGAAAGTTGCTTCTAATGGTCATGCACTTGATTCCTGTATTGTTAATTACATTAGAAGTTGGATTTGAGCATGAAATTCAAGATCATTACTTTATTGCTATGCAGCCACACACTGACATTCTAGAGTATATACTGCCTTCACTGGTCTCAGAAAGGGTGGAGATAAAGAGCTACACACCATTCCATGAATGTCCTTGAAGTAAGGATTCATAAAAACAACAAGTGACCTTGTGTACCAGCGAGACCCCACATGTAGCTGGCCAGATATGGTTGGGGACACGGCGTTCTCCAGCAGTTTCTGTAACATATCAATCATTCGTTGAATTGCAGTTCTTTGCAGTAGTGTTTGTATTAATATCAGCTGAAGTATTGAGGAGTCGCCTGCAATATTTGCACGTAGTAAAAACACACCTTCAACTAACCATTCCCTAAGCTATTTCTAAACGTTGATGCTAACATGTAATATTACTCGTTTTTCATGTTTAAGCGCCAGTGACCACGCGACATCAAGCGAGTGGCACTTCCTGGCACATGACGTTAGGTTCAATAGGATACATGCCATGAGGCCTGTCTTATACTAGAAAATGCCGTCTTTTGACTGTGCGAACTCATTTAGGTTTCTTTGTGTTACTATTGGTCATCAGAGTGCGAAGAGTAGGATTCACTTAATCTTGATGTCATATAAGGATACATAGCTTGGCACACCCGTGTTATATTACCTTGTTGTCTTTGTTGCTTCGGAGTAGAATCTGCAGTTGCTCAATGGCCTCAAGCAGCATATGCTGGTATTCCTCGTTCAGGTTGTGGCAGCTTTTGAGGCTCGTAAGAAGTGGTTTGTTCTCTGCGGCACTTTCTTTGGTTTCAGGATTAATCGCTGCTTGCGCAGATCTTTCGTTTTGAGTGGGACAGCTTTCAGGATTCGCGGCGTACGATCTGTGGTCTCTTAATGGATCTGGAGCCTCCTCGTCGCTATGGTCATCCTCAGAAGTCTGCAAGGACCAGTCATAATTTTGGATACTTCAGGAATTTGGTTTCCACAGCAAACAGGTGCGATTGTACCCTGGATAGTTTTCAATTGTATTTCCAGTCATAATTTTGTATACTTCAGGAATTCGGTTTCCACAGCAAATAGGTGCGATTGTACCCTGGATAGTTTTTAATTGCATTTCCACTTGTAACGTGTAGCGTTATGGATTGTTAGTATCCGTTACATTGCGATGGCATTTAAATTGATTTCACTCCCTCGTTCCTGCCATATTTATGTCTAAAACAGAATGGGCTCATGCTAATTACATATTACCATGATGTTGGTAAAAAATACTTTCTTGTTGTATTTTTCGTAGAGAAACGAAATTCAGACTTTCTAGGTACCGAACAAGTAAATGCCTTGCAGTGCACTACACGGTCAACAAATCTGATCTGTCACATTAGTATCGAAAGAAAATGTGCTGAATGGACCTTTTCCACATACCGACGGCACCGGGCGGTGGCTGCACGAACTAAAAGTCGAGGAAGTGACCTACCTGCGCTACCAATCGATAACGGCAGCTACGCTACCACTTTCTTCGCTCTCTGAGTTGGCATCCGTGGCGTCCACCCAAACGTCGTGTTTTTCTTTCCGTCGACTTCCTTTTTTGTGTGTGTAACACAATTATATATATGCTGCAAATACGTATTCTACTCGCTGATCCACAGCCTCCTTCCGACTTTCCTCGATTTTTCGTGCCGACTTCCGCCGCTTGGCATCGGGCGCTCGCGCGTGCGCAGAACGCTTCTCAGAAAAGGTCCATTTTTGTCAATGGTCTGCTGAAAAATGCAGTTCATAATTCTAGTAGCGTTCAGTTTTTTGGTGCAATACGTTTTATTCAATCATCATTGGTGCAGAGAAACATTTTTATTAGGCTTTACATATAGTTTTAGAAAACCGTAAAAGCGCTACAGCGGGCTTTGCACGTGAGTTATAACCCCAGGAAGGCACAATAGAGGGGCCTAATTGTCACGAAAAGTCGAATTATTATCTAATAAATGTTGTTACTCTTTTTAAGGAGTGAAAACATACATGGTTTTGATCAGAAATTTTCTGAGCGTTATCTAAAATCGCAAAGTCAGCAAATTTTAGAGCGACTTGAAGCGCTTAGGAACAGTGGTTGTGTGCTAAAGTTACCACTCGTGCAACAGGTGCAAGGTGGGCGGTGCGAAAACGTGAATTATACGGTTACGGTACAAGAACCACTCGCGTTTTTCGCACCGCCAGCTTTGCGCCTGCGCACAAGTGGTAACTTTACGGCACCGCCGAACTTCCCACGAGCTGCAAGTCTGCCTAGATGCACTGAATCAGTGGTTTTAGGTAACGCTCATTACGTTTCTAATTGGAACGAGCCATATGTCTAGTTTACCTAATGAACAAGTTAGTTAACACATTTTAGCTAATTCTTTGATTACTTGTGACGATTTGACCTCTATGCTCCGAGAAACTGAGGGAGAGGAGGAGACAAAAGCGCACCTGGGACGTCAGAACGCCGAGCTCTGGTTGGAACGATTAGGGGGTAGTGCTAAAGCTAGCTGCCTTTGTCTCCACTGCGCTCGTCGAACGCGTTTGAACGCGGAACGCCGGCCTCGGGCGCTTGGCTCTCGCATTCGAACGCGTTTGACAAGTGCAGTGGAAACAAAGGCAGCTAGCTTTAGGGCTACCCCCTAATCGTTCCAACCAGAGCTCGGCGTTCCGACGTCCCAGGTGCGAATTCGCCAGCAAAATCGCGCCATGTTAATCGGACTTAAATCACCTGCACAGACCGCATTAATGTATACCTGTCGCGAATTTTTTTAACAGGTCTATCCTTTTTCCACCTCCTTTTTTCTCCCCCCCCCCCCCCCCCCCCCCCCCCCCCCCGAAAAAAAAACAAAAACAACAACAAACATCTTGTATATCGGTGTCACACAATAGCGCAGGCGACGTTACAGGCCGAGAGGTCAAGCAAACATCACCGAAATTGGAACGTCAACGTCAAGGCGTTCACCATCTTTCTGCGCGCGCTTAGCCGCCGGCTACATCCAGTCAAGTGCCGAGAGAGCGCGGTGTATTTGGCACCTTTAGTCTGTATGCATACGTTAGTCTTGGAGGCGTTGGGTGGGCTACGACATAACGTGAAACGAAGCATAGTTGCCCGTGCTTCCAGAGAGGAGTTCGTCGAGCACTTTGAATGCGCTCAAACGGGCGGTGAAAATGTCTTCGGTTCATTCGCTACTTTGCCTTCTGTGATGGCCTGCCCCCAACGTTCCCGTGTAACCGTGCAAAGCCATAGACGGCATTTCATTGTTCTCAGCTCGAATCCCCTTTCCCCTGCATTCTTCACTGGACTAGGTTTTCGGCAGCTAAACGCGTGCTTCGCTCCGTCTTGAAGCAGATGACAAGCCAAGCGTAAAGTCTGGTTCAGACAGTTGCGTTTGACTGCGTTGCGGCTGCGACAAACCGGGACATCCCTACTGCTTATATCGCGTGCCAAAGTGATTCCTTGAATTGGATTCCACGCTTCATACAAAGCACAGATGTGCCGGTGACTCGCTTTCGGTTCTCGACGCAACGCAGTCAAACGCACTCAAACGCAAGGGTCTGAACCGGCCTTAAGAATGAAAATTGACTTACGTGAAATCTCTCGCATGATGGGGGATCAGTAGCTTCCTCTGTAATGATTGCAAGTAGCCCCATTGCTACGGTCGAAGCTACTGACAAAGTCACTGGCGTAAGCGCGTTACGAGAGCAGTTGGAAAGGAAACGCTAAACCAGGACGCTCGCTCGCACAAGCAGCTTTGGTGAAACCAAGAGACGCCAGAACGTGTGTTCTTTTGCAAAAACGTAAAAAAAAAAAAAAAAGAACGATAGGCTGATCTCACTACGTGTTTGGCGCATGCGTGACGCCGCTTTAACTTTAGTGCACACGAGGCAGGCGGAGTGCACGAGACACTGGCACGGGACGACTCATGCCATCGCGTGTTCTGCACAAGCAAAGTACCAGCGAGATTGTCGCACATGCAGAAACCGATCTCACAGAACGTTCGGCGCATGCGTAACGCCGCCCTAACTTTAGTTCACAGTAGGCAGACGGCAGTGCACGAGATGGCTCGGGCCGTCTCGTGCTCTGCACGCGCAGAGCTCCAGCGAGGTTGTCGCACGTGCAGAAAGACTGAAGTTCCCTCCATATATCGCGGCTTCGGTGGCGTACACTCTTAGAAAAAAGGGTACGGATAGTCCTCCCTTACGGGAGGAACGGTCTTGTAACCTATGTTCCTTTAGAAAGGGAGAAACCTTCGTCCCTGAAGCAGGGGAGCAAAGTTCCTCCGTCGCTTGCATCTCAATATGGCGGCCCCGAATCGAGCAAATCGAGCCCAATAAGGCTTAACGAGGACGCTACGTCTCTTGTACGGGACGAGAGCAGCAGCAAATGAAAGCGTAACACAAGCTTTCCGCAAACTGTGTTTATTTCCGAAGCCAGATTCCCCCCACAGGTACAGAAACCTGCGTTTCGAAAGCAGTTACTCAGTCTTCTCGTCAACAGCACTGCGATGTTAAACGGAGACAACCGATACCCAGTTACTTCGCGCACTTTGCGTCTTACCTTTGGTGTTCCTCGAATCACAATTCCTTCGTCAACCGCACATCACGGAGAAGGGCAAACTCACTCCGCGAAACTAAAAGCCGCTCTCGAAAGAACGAACTCGAAGCCGCTGTTTATCGCGTAGCGTGAAAGAAGGTTAAATCGCTAGCCACCAGATGGCGGGGTCAAGTAGAGTAATTGCAAGTAGCTAGGCTAGGTGGCGCTAGGTACCGCCCAATTCATGTTCTACAAAAAATAATTTGCTTCTTTCAGGCCACTACTGCGCCTGAGGACCCTCTACTATACACACATGCAACCCATCACTGATCTCTATGACAATTGCTGGATCGCGCTTCCCCGCTTGTTCGCTGCAGCGCAACTGAAGCCACCGGGCTTCACTCGCTTGGGATACGATTTGCCGTTTTTGCTAGCCTTTGCTGCGGTTTTACAGCGTGCTGACGACACGTTTTCTACTCGTTCGTCGTCATTCCCCGAAGAAGTTTTTTGAAGACTCTGTGTATTGTTGAGACTTGCCGTTGTGAACACGTGGAAATTTTTACGAAAGTGCAGTGTCGCAGGAAAAAGGCACAACGCGTCGAAAGGAAGGGCTGGCGGCGTGTTCAAAGCTTCCTTGGCACGCCGAAGTGCCGTGTCTCTGTGCCTTCGCACGCTTGAATACCGACCAAGAACCGACGCCGTGTGTATGTGTTCAGCGAGTTCAATGTGCGTGAAGCTGTTCGTGCCTCTGGATCAGCGTCTTTTCCCCTCGCGGTTTAGGAACGAGCTTAATCCAGCGTCCACTAGCGACGGAAGATGGAGAGAAGGTACGTCTTTTTTTTCGTCCTTAGACGATTTACACAATACCGTGCACAACAGCTCCTCATCACTGATCAGTGCTGGCTTATTATCAACCTACTTAATTGCACTTGACGTTTGAGCGCGGCTCGCCTAATTGTAATTGGTCAACAGATTGCACACGACCATATCGGCCGCGCTTCAAAGATTTTCATTCTCGCCGTCTTGTACTTCTGCTTTCGAAAACCCCCCTGGCTCCACAACGTTGCCCTATTCGTGCTCCCACGGAATCTATTAGAGTAGATTTGGGACATAGCCATGGTTAATATAGTACATAAGAACACGTACAGATCTCCCCCTTTTATTGATTGCAACTCACCGGAACAGCTGGACGATCCAGAACTCCGTGGCCGATATATATAAATGATCTAAAGGCATCTACGCGCGACACATGTTCAGAACTTTGGCGCGGCGTCAATTCTTGACCGGTATCCAAGCGTGCGAAGGCACAAAGATGCATCACTCGGCGTGCCAAGGAAGCTTTGATCACGCCGCGACACCGGCGACACGTTTTCGACGAGTTGTACCTTTTGATACGGCTTCACGCACATTGCACTCGCTAAACACATTCACACGGCGTCGGTTCTTGGTCGGTATCCAAGCGCGCGAAGGCACAGAGACACGGCACTTCGGCGTGCCAAGGAAGCTTTGAACACGCCGCCAGCCCTTCCTTTCGACGCGTTGTGCCTTTTTCCTGCGACACTGCACTTTCGTAAAATTTTCCACGTGTTCACAACGGCAAGTCTCAACAATACACAGAGTCTTCAAAAAAACTTCTTCGGCGAATGACGACGAACGAGTAGAAAACGTGTCGTCAGCACGCTGGAAAACCGCAGCAAAGGCTAGCAAAAACGGCAAATCGTATCCCAAGCGAGTGAAGCCCGGTGGCTTCACTTGCGGGAGCGGCAAGCGCGATCCAGCAATTGTCATTGAGATCAGTGCAACCCATACACATTATTACAAGCATCAGGTGAACATACATTAAGCACATGCACTGGCCACAGAAATATCAATACAACGGAACACCACACTAACCCGAACACTACACCCGTGCTCTGCGTTTCCGTCTTTTATACTGGTCGTTTTGAACGTGCGGAACTTTTCGGTGACTCCCTAAGCAATAAAAAATATTCCCAGCATGTTGAATTTTTCCCTGCAATGTCATACCTCTGAGAGTATTTTGAATGGCTCAGGGGTTGAATCTCTTATTAAAAAGTAAACGCTCAATCATGCCGTAATTATTTGAAAGCCAATAAATCAAGCCGCTCATGCGGTTCGAAGCCATGAGTTTGTTTCCCCACACGGCACGTCGTAGCTTGTATTTCTATTTGTTTTTCTATTTGTGCTGTTCGCGCAGAGCTGCAATTGCCGTTTGAATTAATCTCTGTAGAGCGGATATTCAGTAGCTGGAAGTGATGCTTCACGGACTGAGAAATTGCTTTTCGATCAACTTGAATGTAGTCAAAGCCGCGACTTGCGGCGGGTTTAAGTGTACGGAACTACGCCGTGGCGAGCCCGAAAACTTCTAGCGCTCATCCCAGCGCACCACGGAGGGCAGTTTCTCCAGCAACCGTATAATTAAACAGCAAAATAAAGGGTAGCTTTTTTTTCGATTTTACCTACTATTGTTTTTAATGCCGAAATTCCATACTGTAAATATACGTACTTTACTTCACGATTTCGTACTGTTCAGTCCTTGCCCTTGAGCACAATCGCTGTCGGGGACGAGACAATTCCGACAGTCACATTGGCCACTGTACGATAGGAGCTTCTACTGTTCAGACCATGACTATCCGCACGTTGATCGATTGCACGTAATCCCTCAAGTGGTATTAAACTTTTTAATGTAAAGCGGAATGTCAACCTGCGACACCCCGCCCCCTCCGATCACAACCCGACCAGCGGCATCAATGCCCAACAGTTTACGATCTTATCTTCTTGTTACACCACTGATACGCGAACACATGGTCACATCGGCGATAATTCCAGTCTTCTGTTCACAACCCGACACTGTCATCACGATGTTGCAGCTATGTTGCTGACACGCACAAACACACAAAACCACGTTGAACGCCGGCTGCACTCGGCATCGGAAAACAGAACCAAACTCAGGGGGGAAGGCACCCAGGCAGCCGGCAGCAAAACCTGCCTGTCTTGGACGCAGTTCCTGCGGTTTCCATAACGTCGAAAACGTCGACACAGTTCCGCGTGCTTTCGCTACTGTAATGACTGTAGGACTGTTGACTGTAGTTCCGTGCCGCGAGAGTCCCGCAATCCGGAGACGGCCATCCCCCAGTGTACGTGGCGCTGCTGGCACTGCTCCGGGACTTCGCTGTTTCTAGCGGCTTCGTTTGCTCGTTTGATAAAATTAGTGATAAAAACGTCAATGCAACCGAAATGTTCTGCACGTTTAGACTAGAAGACGGAATTACAGGCGGCCTTTGCTGCCGCTGAAGCTCAATCAACTCAACAGCTATTTATTAAACAATGTGCGCGACCTGCTCGAAAAACGAAACCGAAAGACGATGAGTCGTGAGGGCGAAAGCTTTCTCCCGTCTGCCTGGAGAAGGAGAAAAACATTTCGTTCCTCCCCTTTTCTCGTGTCCGCTTGGAGGCGCGTCGGTAGAAGGGAGGAAGGCGCGCCGTTGCTACTTTTTTCCTCCCTTTTTTCTTAGAGTGTATAGTCAAACTGGCTGGTAGGGTCGGTCTGGATTTAAAACGGCTTTGGAGCGCTTTTTTGTCGATATCTTCTTGGCTTGGGTGCGCAAGCACGCGCTCGGATTTACCGTACTAAAGGTGCGAGTAGTGCGAGCATGGAGTGCGTTTGGATTGCTCCAAATCCACACCCTTTTCAAAAGTGGGTGCGATTGCCTGTCCGTCATTGCTTACTCTGTTCACTGTTAAAGGTTTTTTTCGTGTTTGTGTTTGGACTTTGTTTCGTGTTCGTGTTCGTGTTTGGACTTTGTTTCTGACACGTCTGGATTAAAGGGAAACTGAAGTGGTTCTCTATTTGAAGAAAAACACCTAATTGTCTTCATTTGGCCTGCAGGATCACGAATATCGAGATTATTGTTTACAGTTTGGTGCAGGGGGCTGCAGAAATTCCTTTTCAAAGTAGCGCTGAAGCCCCTCCTTCCCGGGGCGTGACGTCATACTTGGAGTTTTCGGAATCTCCGCTCTCGCGCATCTTCAGCGCTTGTTAAAGCTATGCACGCGCACTCTTGCTATTTCCAAAAAGGTCAGAAAGAGGCAAGCGATACGACGTCATACTAGGATCTTTGGGCCGCCAAGCGACACGCGCTTGGCGGCCCAAAGATTCTAGTACGACGTCACGACTGGTCGGAGGTTTTTCGTGATTCAGGAAGATTTAGGGTGTCCAGTAATGATGCGAACATTCACACTAAACTCTTAACTGGAAGTCGTAAAAATATTTGGAGGTGCTCATCTGTCATTCGCGAGACCCGCGTTTGGTTTGACAGTCCTCATCTTGAAAAAAGTATGTTTGCAGATGTGTACGTGCGGTATCGAACAGTTCGATGAAAGCCGCTCTGAGATTGTAAGTATGAAAGCTTTAATTCAGGGCTATCAGCGGTTAACGAAGTCGTTCGCTGCAAATGCACTCTTCAACTTATTTTTTTTTTTTCATTGGGGACCACCTGATTAGTGAGCACTATCTAGAAAATCTCTCGAGCTTCAGGGTTAATAAATCCTATTATACCGGGTTGGCAACCAAACGTAGTACATCTTGTCCTGGAGCGTGTTTATCTTTTTTTAGGGGGAGGGGCAAAGGGGGATACATTTTTTTAGGCGTGGCGGGGGCCGTATATTATTGCCTCGCGGGCCGCTGGTTGCCGATTCTCGGTCTAAAGAATAGTGTACCACTATAAAGGTAATGTACTAGACGCCACTTTTGAGGGCGATGTTTGAGTGGGCGCTCTGCACGAGCTCATATTGATAGGCTGCCAAGACCGGCAATCTCGTGCTGCCGAATGCTTGTTGCAAAAGAAGTGCGGAAGCTCGCCGTCAGCACGCGCTCAGCAATCGCGCAGACTGCTATAACGACCGCCAGTTTCCCTATAAGGTCGTCCGCACAACCTATTTGGCTGACGCTGGCGAGGCTGCAAGGCTCCGTAAACCCGGAGTTACACTGCTCGATATCGTACGAAAGTCACTAATTCGCTGCACTC